GCTTTTTTTTTTTTTTTTACTTTACTGTACTACTTTTTTTTTTTTCTTAATAGAAGAGCTATAGAAAATAATACATAAGGTGAACAGGAACTCTGATTCCCTGTTTCTTCCAAAGGCAGTAACGACAATAAATACATATATCACTTGAAGCTTGGAGTATTTGCACTTTGCAGCAGTGGTACCCAAAGGGGGGCTGCCTCTTGTAAACACGACGGTCCCTGTAAGCCCCGCGGGTTCCTTTCCCGGGCCGGTGGAACTGGGGCCTCTAATCGTGAAAGATGGCATTGAGCTGGGCGCTCAGGACGCGCTCGTGATGCGAATGGCTATCGAAGGACAGGATGTTGTCCAAAGGGATCTCGCAGCGAGGGGCCGCGGCGCCCGAGAAGACCGCTCCGTGGCCTTGGGCGCCCGCCAGGCTCGCTGCCGGGTAGTGCATGGAAAAGGCGTAATTCTTCTCGAACTCGGCGGACGGCTCGTGCTTGAAGGAGAAGTTGCCGTTGATGCTGAGCGGCGGGCTGAGCGGCCCGTCGAAGGCGGGGCTGGCGCAGTCCGTGAGCGGGCTCTCGAAGAAGGGCTCGAGCGCCGCGCCGTAGGCGGGCGGCGGCTTCACGTGGAAGACGTGGGAGCTGTCCATGGTGCCGTAGGGCGGGCTGGGCAGCCCCGGCGACTGGTAGGAGTAGGCGTGCACCGGGAAGGACGCGGGGGCCGTCGGCAGGTGCGGGGCCATCTCCTGGCTCTGCTCCGGCAGGAAAGTCCGCGGGTTGAGCTGCAGGCAGCCCGCGACCAGGTTGGTGGTGGGCTGCGACAGGCCCTTGCAGAGCGTCTGTACGAAGGAGACCAGGTCCGGGCTTTTCCCGGAGCGCAGGATCTCCGACAGGGCCCAGATGTAGTTCTTGGCCAGGCGCAGCGTCTCGATCTTGGACAGCTTCTGGGTCTTGGAGTAGCAGGGCACCACCTTGCGCAGGTTGTCCAGCGCCGCGTTCAGGCCGTGCATGCGGTTCCGCTCGCGGGCGTTGGCCTTCATGCGCCGCAGCTTAAACCGCTCCAGGCGCGCCTTGGTCATCTTCTTCTTTTTGGGGCCGCGTCTCTTGGGCTTCTGGTCGTCGTCCTCCTCTTCCTCCCCCTCCTCCTCCTCCAGGTCGTCGTCGTCGTCGCCCTCGTCCCCGCCGTTCCTCAGCGGGCCGTCCGCGTCCATGGCCTCCAGGTCGCCCTCCTTCCTGTCCGTGTCGTGCCCGTCGTCCTGGGGACTGAGGCACTCGTCCGCCCAGCTCGGAGGCCCCTGCGGCTGCGGCTCGCCCATCAGCCCGCTCTCGCTGTAGGATTTGGTCATGTTTCGGTTGCCTGCATTCAACAGGGGGGAGAGGAAAGCAGACAGAGAAAGGAAAAACGCTGCGTTCGAAAACTTCACGCGCCCTCGGCGCCTGCTCCCCAACCCTGTAGACGCGCGAAGAGAAGCACCGGCTCGGTACACAAGGGACGCCCCAGGCCCGGGTAAGCGCAGTGTTTCCTGCTGGCACGTGGTGCCCCGCTGGGGCGTAGGGGGCCAGGCAGAGCCGGGGTGCGGGAGCGAGCGACTGGTGTGCGTGTGCACTGTGTGTGCGTGTGTGTGTTTCCTAGTGACTAACTTAAGTCTGTTTATGGTAATTACCCGGCAGGATAATATGTGTGAAAACGAGTGTACATTTCGGTGATTTCATGCTTCTCTGCATGAGTTCCAAGACACAACTCCACAAAAATAACGAGTTTGACAATCGCAGTTTCTGTCCCCATCTCTGCCCAGGCTTCTCCGTACTTAGCGATGAAAGCTGAACAGCCATTACGTAACTTACCAGCGCTGGCAGTGATTTTTAAGAAGATTACACCAACGGGAGACTGAAGAGCAAAGGCACGGCGGAGGAAAAGTGCATTCAACCAAATTATTTCACCATCAACAAGACATTTGGCAACAAAAGGGGGCAGGGGTCTTCCAGGCTGCCCTCGCCTCTCTTTCCTCGCCGCCCGGCCCCGGCCCTCTGCTGAAAATCCACCTTGTACAAAAGCGCTTGCGGCGCGGCTGGGGCTGGGGGCGCGGTGCGGGGCGCGCGTCCGCGCCCGGGGATCAGGTGCGCCAGGCTCCTCTCTAATAAACAGCCCATTGAAAAGGCCGCCCGCTCTTTATTGGGGCTTTTCAAAGTTCGCCTCAAACCTCCTTTTAAAAGATTGAGTAATTACAATGGTCAGCGACTGGCAATGGCGAAGTTGCCGCTTTTAATAAAGGAAATAAAAAGCATTTAGTGAGACAACTGAATTTCTGGCTCCTGCAGCGGCTGCTGGGGACTTGGCCGCCTCTGGAGCAGTAACAGGTAGTAGGAGTGAGTCCCTCTCCTTTTCTCCCCATTTCCCCTCCTCTCAACTAAACTTTCTCTCAACTGGATTTATTTTCCGGGGTGTGCATACCCAAGGTATCCAAGTCCCTTTCATTCATTGAAAAAAATAACTCGGCACTTCCAAAGTGCATAAAACACATGCACACAAAATACATCTTGGTAACAACAGGGGCTTTTTTCTTACTGTAATAAATAAGAGAGTAAAGCAGTTCGCTGCCTTTGGGACTTTGAAATCACCATTAGCAAATAATCATGGTATTAAAATCCAAAGATGCTCCTATTCTTCACCCTTACCCCCAATTGAAACAATTTTTTAAAAGTAGAAAGCCTGCGGTATTTGAGTGATGGGAGTCAAAACGTGAGCATGCGTGTCTGCCGTTATGGGGAGGAATGCCTGCCTCGGCACACGCACTCACAAGCGCACGAATACCCAATATCTAGCGGCATTGGGTCTTCAATTACTGATTTTATTTCCAAGCCAAAATGAAAGGACTGTAATTACCTGTAGTTGTTACTCGGTCCTGAGCAGTGATGGTCTCATAACCCTGGGGCCTCCGGACGTCGTGCCTTCCGCCGGGACGGATTCCTCGTGTCCCGGCCGCGCGGGCGCTCAGGTTATATAGCCGAGGCGGCGGCGCCGGGCGCGGGCGGGGCGGGAGC